TTGTTCTACTCATCTGTTCCTATCCGAGTCCAACAACTGGACAACGGAGTCACACTCGGATTCACGCCTCGGTGTAGCAGTTACGATATCCCTTGAGCAGTACAAACTTGATGGTCACTTTGAGTTAGCTGGGGCAGTCAAGCAAGCAATGGTTGTTAGGACAGCCATCACATATATGCGTAAAACTTCAAGCCGATGAAAAGTTTTCACACTCAGTAAAATGGACTATACTTGGCTAAATTCTAAACTCGAATCAAACAGTGTTGGTTTCAAATATGGGCCTATTTGCCGAATGATTTGGTTCTAACTGGATGCTCTAGAGAAGTACAGTTGGGACCTCCCGTTTGCAATATTATTCAACTCCTGGTTGTTTCTCTGCAGAAACGTGTGTAAAGTTTTACCGCTCTACGAGTCTTAGTGTTTGCACAAAGTGCCAGTGTTTCTCACTTGGCGGAGAAACTCCAAGCGTTCACTTCCCGACCTCCATATTATAAGAACATAAAGTACCAGAATACCAAGAGGATCACATCTTGCGTGGAGCCAGTTGTGGCGCGCCGAATACAACTACCATGAAGACAATGTTGGTAACAGACTGGCTCTTCCCCAAATCCTGTCAGCTGTGACTCAGAAGACGCTGTAACCAGTCTTTGATCGGCCAACAGTGTGGACAGACTTGATTTATTTTACTTGCTTCTGTGAGCTTTTTGTTGATTCTCGAAACAAAATTAAAGGTGACACACTTTAGCCACTAAAGACGAACTGATTTTTTTAAGTTCTGTTAGTAGTCATTCATTAGCTTGTCGGGTGTAAACATGGAATTTTTAAGCGAACCAAACTCTTAAAAGATACGTTGATCATGGGAGGTTTTAGTGAAATAGCGGGAGATTAAGATAAATGGACCAATTTAATGCTTGGCGTATTGCGTGTCAGCCACCTGCATATCCTCATTATTTCAAATCGGATTAGGTAAAATAAATGTTCCGCTCATTTTTCAAAAAGTATTTGACTAATTTGTCGTGGGCATCTGACCTGACCCCTTTGTAATCAACTTCCTGATCGTACAATATCCCTTTATTTTATGCAGCATGCTGTGGTGCTAGACGCTGGCTCAACATCAACCAAATTAAATCTTTACGAATGGGTCGACGATCCATTTCGAACGAACGCACAAGTGAAGCAAATTGCCGACTCGCGCGTCAGTAAGTTCTGTCTTTATAGTGTACGACAGTAGCATCTAAACGCCAAACGTACAGGTTTTAGTAAAAGTATCCGGTACTGCGGAAATTTTTCCTTAGGATCATGACAGAAAGAACCTACTACAAAAAGGTGAAACCCACGTAAATCGGACTAAATGACTGCTGAGCATTTGCAAACAAACGGACTCGATATCACAGAACAATTCTGCACCGACACATTATCCTCGGTGTTTGCATTGAGCAACGGATCACTACTGACTTTGACCCTTAACTGAGCGCGGTTTTATGATTTTTGGACGGACGAATTCACCTGACTGTTTCAGAATTACTGTCGCTCCTGAACAGCAGCTTCGCACGTCTTTAGGAATAGTGAGCTTCTTTCCTGTGTGTAGCACGTGGTTGTCCCAAATTTTCTGATGCACACTTGTCCGTGTGTTTCCATGAGTTCTTTACATTTTGGCATCTAACATATCGCCTACCGCGACTCTTGGTCAGTAAACCTGAAAAGATCTCGCTTGCCTTTCACGTTTACATAGCTGCACAGATTGGTGGAATGCCATAACAAGCTGATTTCCAGTTTACCTATCAATGAAGCGCCACTTTTGTTCATAAATTGATGCAAAGTCACAAAACCCAGAATGGGGTTTTGACCAATTGCCTTACCCAATTAGAACTTTTTGGGGTTATCTCGACTGAATTATCCAAATATTCTGCGTAAAATGATAACTAGTCTATTATTGTCTCAAAAACACCATGCTTGATATTATTGAGAAATAAAGTGGACCATCGGTGGTTCACAGAAAAAGCACTTACTAGATATAATAGAGACAGTTATATGAAAATAATAACGATAAAATTGGCGAAGTGTACAAACAGTCCTATAAACTTAGCTAAAAATAAATGTTTGACTGGAAAGTGAAGCCACAAAAATAGTCAGCTGTTCCGATCAACGGTGAGGAAAAATACACAACACTATTATCCGTCTTCATCGTTTACCGTTTACAATATCAACAGAGTCAATGAACTCTAACCTATCACAAAGACTATGGACACAATATTGTCTCGGGTCATATGAAAATGGTTCCTTCAATGAGTGCCGGCTTATCAAAAAATGGAACAATTCAGGTCGGGGATGTAAAGCGGAATTAAGTAATGCCAAGTAATGTCAAGTAAGGTCATGCCCAGTTGCAGTCCGATTCAATAAGCGTCCTATGTTAGGAGTGTTAAGGTGACTTCGTGAATGCCAAGTACCCAAGAATACATCCAATATAAGACAATATTACTGGTTTTCACAATATATTTTCCAATGTTTTTGACTAAACCGCGATAAAACTTGTTAGTGTTTGACTTGATACTTAATCAGGAATGTTAAATTCAGCCGAATTTCGTAGCTCAAGCGCTGGTTTTCACAATATATTTTCCAATGTTTGTGACTAAACCGCGATACAACTTATTAGTGTTTGATTTGGTACTTAATCAGGAATTTTAAATTCAGTCGAATTTATTAGCTCAAGCAGAGCACAATTTTCCAAAACTTCACTTTTTTGATGCTCTCTAGAGTTTACAGAAACTGCAGTAATACCTCAATTTATTTCCTTGTTCGGGCAAGGCTAATCCCGGAATTCTGCATTAGTTTTGCACTCATCCATCATGAAAAGATTTCGGGGCAGGTGATTTTTATGTTTTCACGACTGTTTTTTAGACCGTCTTCGTCAAATCAGATGTAACGGTTTAAACTTTTCGAAGGCTTCACCGTTAAGCTGAGGTTAGCAGCGGTAGTTCAACGAATACCTTTTACATCTGGTGATTGAGGTTTGTATTGTCGTTAGCCTAATTAACACATGCACCGTTCCTTTCGTTAAACAACACATTCAAACCATACAAATTTGTGCTGAAACTGAACTTCTTCCTCGGTGAATCGTACTTGCTTTTACGTTCACGTATGTAACAACATTTTTCAAACAGCTCTGAAGATCACAGGAGCTGTGTCCATAATTTACTGAGAATTATGCGGAAAAGTCAATGCGATGAGCTCAAAAATGTGCAGCGCTCCAACGGGTACGGCTTCTGTAAAAGGAGTCGAATATAGTCAATCAGCTGAAAAACTCTTGGAATCGATTCAGTAGTCAGAGAGAGAGGGAAGCTTGGAACCAATCGGTAGATTCATTGATAGGCAACGGTTCGCCTCTGACAAAAACTTCGTCTAGCCGAGTGACCAGGTTACGAGGTTGGTAGAGATTTAACGCGAAAGGAGAACCATTCAGATGATTCAAGCTAAATCTGGGTTAGGCGTTGACCAAGGGACTGTGTGTTTGGGTGGGCCATCAAGTGTTAAGCTAATGGGTTTCTCCCTGACACAATTCAGATTTTGCTTGAATCACCGGATTAAATACCACTTCACCTTGAACCTCTACCAACCTCGCGACCGAGTCACTCGGCCAGACGAAGCTTTTGTGTCAAAAGCTACACGCTGCCCAGCACTTAATCTACCGACTGTTCCCAAGCTTTTTCTAAATTAAATATACTTTTAGTGACCGTCTGTGTAAAGTTTCATTTTAATTTGATCGGCTTGAATTTTATCCGGTAGCTCCGTGTATTACTCCGGTTACTAGTGACAAAAGTATTATCAGCACAAAATAAGCGAGACGTTTTGCAGTGAAAGCTGAAATTTAAACAGTTAAATGGCTTGATAAAAATTTGCTTTAAGGTCTAATTTTGGTAATCAGAATGAAATCAGCAAGGTGTGTTGTGCAACTTTACGTCTGTCGTTGATTGAGAGAACAAGCAGAGTTGGCTACTGTACAGGAGCGATGACATTTCGTGGAAACCTTTACCGCAAAGCTTGTAGACAACGCAAAATTGTACACTTCTGAAGTAGAGGATGCACCATAGTGTCGACAGTTTTTTAAGGCGAAGAGACCATCCTATGAGTAAACATGACCAGTTATTTTGTGTTAACCACCACGCGTTGCATTGCTTTTATTATCTCTCTCCCAGAGATATTGAACTTCGAATCAAGCCAATTGGTGATGAAACCTAAATATCTTCATGATAATTCTGGAAAGGTAAACGGCATCATTGAATCTGAGAAAAGCTTGCCTTGGATATCCACTTAAGAAGGGTGGTTCGGTTAGTCTGTCGTTGTTTATATGGAGGTTCATCGAATCCTTAGTTTGTTGGCTATTCCTTATAAGGTTATTTGTGAAGGAATTGACACAAAGTGGTTGCTGTACCCAGGTGGAAAATAGGATTTATAATTTTTGTAGTGGTTGAAGCCAGAAAAACTGCCTCGCAGGAGCTTTACAGGCTTAAGTCTTGGAACTGCTATATATGCTGTTCATGAATCTATGTAGCCACCAACCGTGTCTTAAATCTTCCGGAATACTGCGGTTAACTTGATCTGATAAATCTGGTTAACAATTGTTTCCCTAATTAAAAACTACGTGTCACATTGAATTGAAGAATCCCCAGCAATAAATGAAATATGAGCAACTGTTAAAGTACACAAATCAGGATTGCTGTGTTTACACTAGTCGATCACCCAGCACAGTAAATAAACAACACGTGCACGCACATGGCTTGTTTGGGAATAACGCTCATCAGGACCCCGATGTGTGACCACCGTTTCGAACGGTGAAAATAGCAGGTGGGTTTGCTTGACAGGCCACACATCTCCAATGGGAAACTTGTAAATAACGTTTCCGCAAACATCGTCGCATTTTTTGGGAGGAAGGTGAATTCATCTCAAGCAGTTCTAACTGCAACGTAGGCTGTATTAATTAGGCGCTTACATGCGCAATAAATAATTTTAAAAGGATCATCCTGGGACAACGGTGCAACTGTGAAGCGTTTTGCACCTCATTCTTTCTGTTTGTGTCTCCATCAATATTTCAGATCACCCATGCAGAGTTAAGTGCTTTTAGTTTTTCGTTGAAGTCTTATCCAGTCGTCTAGAAATTTTTGATTTCAATTTTCAAAAGGTAGGAAATGCGGTAGGATTTTTCAACGTACCACATTATTCAAGAAAATCGCGAGAGCTTAGGAGACAAATAAGTGATTCAAGATTGCAGTTCTGGGGTTTTGCGGCATAGGTATTTTGTTCATAGTAACACCACTCTCGTTTGAACGGTCGTCCTGTTCTGACGTAATTATTTCGGTGAGTCCACAACAAATGGAAGAACTGTACTCGAGTTTCGCTTTTATTAGAGCTCATCAGCAGTGCATATCCAATGGCCGTGCCGGGATGTGTACCTCGGACATCTGACTTGCAAGGCGAGCATGTAATCACTACTCTACCAACGCACGTTGGACGCATCTGAATTTTCACGTCCAAACAGGCCAACGTGTGATTAGTGTGCCCGACCAATCGAACGACGACCCAGTAACTGTCCTGGTTGTGATGAACGATTGACCCGCCAGTCAGGACTTCCTAGTCAGGTGGCGTGATACACGCTTGAAACCCAGTGGGTTGGTTGCAGTTTTGGGGTTTTGCGGGATAGGATTCGAGATTGTCTGGGAGAGGGCTGACCGTTGTGGTAATTGGACGTAGTGTACGACTGGCCAAATTTATCAAGATAAACAACGATATTCCTCACAGTTCTCACTCTAAAACGAGATGGATTAAGTCCGTCAAATCTCAGCAAACTCAGCAAACAGTAAGCACGAAACGACCATTGTACTGTCAGTTGCCAGTGTGAGAATTTTCGAGTTGCTCCAAAACAGTGTAGTTGATAGCTAGCTAACAACGAAGCTTGTTTAGTTCAGCTTAATGCAGCGCCAGTCCTACAGGAATAAGTACAAAAATCATAATAGACGACCTTGACTTCGTTATTGCTACCGGAACGTTTAAGGGGGAGGGGTCCTATCAAGCACAGATATAGCTGTGGTAGAAACTAGCAAAGAGTAAATGAGCAACCCACAATCCGAAAAGTTACCGGGCACTAAATTGGACCGCCAAGGCCGTGTAGAATTAGTGAATAAAACAAGGACATGTGGTTCTGGTT